CCACTCGAGCAAATCGATGAACAACAGGAGGACAGTGCTACAGTGAAATAATTATTAAGAGTCTACATTTTGTGACTCCCCCATAACCATGCCACCAGACTCCACGCCAGGCTGTTTTCACTTGGGGTGCTCCAGAGTGGGGCGAGTGAGAGCCCTCCCCGCCCCAAGGGACCCAGTCCCGGCAGCCAACCTCCACTACCCAACCGCCGCCATGCTCCAGGCCACTTTCCGGACTGACACATTATAAGACACTTCCTACCCATTTTCAATAATTGCCACACCATATTTGGTGGGGTTCGGACAGTAGGCAACAAATCATAGAGAGAAATATATAAATATATGCCTCTCAGAGAGCCCGGCAAGCTACCAAGAGTATCCCACCCGCACAGGCAAAGCCAGGCAAGCTCCCTGTGGCATATTTGGTATGCCAAAAACAGTAACGACAACAGGTCTCATTCCCTTGACCCTGAAAGAGCATCCAATCAGTGGGAAAAGAGGAGTAAGAAGAGCACCCCACTAAAATCTCAGGGCTTGGAAGAATAGAGACGTTACTGGCGCCTGCTCGAGTAAATCGATGAACAACGGGATGACAGTGATACATTTTGTGTTATCAGAAGATATTTTTGGTGTGGGAAATTGAATCCAAGTTCTTGTACATTGCTCTCCCCCAAGCAACAATTCTAGTTCTGTTTCTCTAAACAATAATGATATTAATAGAGTGTTTATGGGGCTGGAGGGATAGCACAGCACGTAGGGCGTTTGCCTTGTATGGGGCTGACCCGGGTTTGATTCCCAGCATCCCATATGGTCCCCCGAGCACTGCCAGGGGTAATTCCTGAGTGCAGAGCCAGAAGTAAACCCTGTGCATCACCAGGTGTGACCCAAAAAAGCAAAAAAAAAAAAAAAAAAGAATGTTTATGGAGCGATAGCACAGCGGGTAGGGCGTTTGCCTTGCATGGGGCTGACCCGGGTTCAATTCCCAGCATCCCATATGGTTCCCTGAGCACCACCAGGAGTAATTCCTGAGTACACAACCAGGAGTAACCCCTATGCACCGCCGGGTGTGATCCAAAAAGCAAAATATATATATATATATATATATATATATATATATATATATTAAGAGTGTTTGCTTCAAGCATGAGGCCCTGGATTTGGTCTTGGCACTGCCCTCATCCCACCCCAAAATAATAGGACCAGAGCAATAGCACAGCAGGTAGGGCAATTTCCTTGCACACGGCAGACCAGTACTTGATTCCCAACATCCCATATGGTCCCCCAAGCCTGCCAGGAATGATCCTTGAGTGCAAAGCCAGGAGTAAGTCCTGAGCACTGCCAAGTGTGGCCCCCTAAACAAAACAAACCAACAAAGTAAAATCATAAGTGTAAAATACAGCATAAAATGAGTGCTTTCTCACCTGATTTTAGGATCAAAGGCTGCTTAACTTGGGATTATATTGTTGCACCCACAGATTTGTAATATTCAGAGAATTTCTCTTCTGTGTATATACTTTGGGTGTGGGGGTTTCCCAAGCAGGACTCGGGGGGCCTAGGGACACATCTGGTGATTCCTGCTGATTCCAAGCAGCAGGATCCAATATGGGGCTCCTGCAAGTTGAGAATTCTGAGCATCTCCCCAGTCCCCACAAAACAACAAAACCCTTTGGAGGGCTGTAGAGAGTTAACTCGTCCCAAATTTGTCTTGTTCCTTCTGATTTAGTTTGTTGCACATAATTCCTTGAGGCCTTGCATTTTGCTGTGAATAGCAGTTTTTTTGGGGGGGGTTGTGAGTGGGGGGGGGCGTTGTGGGGCCACAACCGACGGTTCTCACGGGTTACTTCTGATTCTGCACTCAGGAATCACTTCTGGTGGGCTTGGGGGACCATATGGGCCACAGGGAATCGAACCTGGGTCACCCATGTGCAAGGCAAGCACCTTACACACCATACTATCGCTGGGGCCCCAGATTTTCATCTTTTTAGTAGCTGAGCTACTGTATTAATGTCACTCTCTTTCATAAATACCATAAAATGAGACAATATTCAAGATATTAATCTATTAAAGAATACGATACCACCATAGTTTCAATAGCCTCTTTGTTCACTTAAAAAGAGTTTCTTTTCTCCTTCCCTCCCTATGTGATCGCTTGGATTAGAGAGACTTCATTGGGATTCTGGGGATAGTCCCAGGATGACAGAAGGTGGGCCAGGCTCAGATACTTGACCATCTCCGTCTCCATGCCAGGCGCTCTGCCACCGAAGCCCATCCTGGTGCCCCTCTTTTTCTGAGTTGTGCTCCACTGACTCTGTTGGTCTGACGCATTTGGCTCATGAATCCAAGTGAGAGGCAGAGGGATTTTGCAGATGTAATTACAGCCCCAAATCACTTGACCTTAAGAAGGGAAGATTACTGGGCCAGAACTGGCCTAATAACATAAACCCTTTTAAGACTTTCTGGGGCTGGAGGATGAAACCCAAGTAAGGAATGCAGTTTGGCGACACTTCCATCTCAGCAGAGCGCCAACAGCCTGCCGCCCGCCCTCTGCTGTACAGAATTCTGCACCGAAAAGAGGGTGTTGTTCTAAGTCATTGTTTGCACAAATTACCCTAGAGTAGAACACTAAGACACCCTCACTGCTTTATGTCCCCACTGTCCACCCTTCTTACTGCCCATCAGAGGCCTGAGTGGAGAGAGAGTTTTTCCAGGGGCTCATAAGAGGTTACACCCTGCTCCGCAACTCTGATGTTTCTTGAAACTGCAGTTTAGGTACAATAGTATTGAATTTTGTGGGTTTTTTTCTGGCTACACCTGATAATATTCAGGGTTTATTCCTGGCAGCACTCAGGGGGCCATATGTGGTGTCCAGGATTAAACCGGGGTGAGCAGTATGCCAAGGAATACTCCTGAATTCTCTTCATTCCAAATATCCATGATTTTATTTTTTATTTATTTTGCTTTTTGGGTCACGCCCAGCGATGCACAGGGGTTATTCCTGTCTCATGCACTCAGGAATTACTCCTGGCGGTGCTCGGGGGACCATATGAGATGCTGGGAATTGAACCCGGGTCGGCTGCGTGCAAGGCAAACACCCTACCCGCTGCGCTATCACTCCAGCCTCAAGTGTTCCCATTCTTTGGATAAATGCCGTTCCCACTGGTGTGAAATGCTAGCTCACTGTTGCTTTGATTTGCAAACATTTCTTTGATAGCCGATGACAATGAACATTCTCATACACCTGTTAGCTGATCCTCCACCTCTTGGAGAAAGTATCTGCTCATTCCTTCTTCCCATTTCTTGACGGCAGACATGTGGTTGAGGGCAAGACGGTGTTCTTCCGCCAGCAGGACCCCTGTCCCTCATCTTTCCCTATGATGTCTCCTAGATTCTGCAGTCTTGAAAATCAATGCTCTGGCTTAAACCTCACACATGCCTGAATCGCTCCGGGTGGACATTCAGTTTCCTTTATAAAAATGATTAGATCGTAACAGGGGCTGGAGCAAAAGTGAGTAAAGCACATGCCTTGCATGCAGCCAAGCCAGTTCGATCCCTGGGACCACATAGAATCCACCAAACACGGACAGGAATGACCCCTGAGCACAGAGCTAGGAGTCAGCCCTGAGCACCACCAGGTGTGGCCCCAAAACAACAACCCAAAACGGACAAACATCTTCATCCGTAAAACTTTGGATTCTGGCTGGTTCACAATAAAGGCCGATCGAAGACGCACATTTCTAAGCGTCCTGCTAGATGCTGCCCTCGTGTTCGTAAAACCAGTCCACCGTCCACCATCCCATCAACGGAGTGTGGTGCCCGGGGAATTTAGATTCTATGGACCAGCGAGATTGTGGCTGCAAGAATTCGGTGGTGGGGCTGGAGCGAGTGTACAGCGGGGAGGGCGTTTGCGTTGCACAAGGTCGACCTGGGTTCGATTCCCAGCATCCCTTATGGTCTCCTGAGCATCGCCGGGAGTAATTCCTGAGTGCAGAGCCAGGAGTAACCCCTGAGCATCGCCGGGTATGACCCAAAAAGCAAAAAAAAAAAAAAAAAAAAAAAGAATTCGGCGGTGTTTTCGGAGGGGATCTCTCCCCCTCAGTGCCCGGGCTTCGCTTTCCAGTTTCCAGTCGAACCTTGGACACCTCCCTTGGGCAATCCCAAACCAGTGAATCCCAAATGAAACCAACCAAGTCACCTTTCCGCCCTCTTCTTTCCACCAAACTGCCCCAAGTGCTGAAAAGACGCGTCAGTATAAGGGCCGTGGCCTTTAGACCCCCTCACGGAGCCACTGTGTTCCTGAACGAAGGCGCTCGGAGCGCAGAGACGCCGTGGGGCAGACAGGGACACGTCCAGCCTCTCCCGTGCCCGCTCAACGTTTGGGACACTCGCGGGCACAACATCCAGACAGCGCCTGCACGGCAAGGCACGGGACACAACGGTGATGAGCCCCCGCACCGCGGGGCTCCGCCGAGGCTGAGAGCCGGGAAACTCTCCGGGAACGCGGCGACGCGGCGTCGCGCCGCACGCCCGGATCCGGCTTTCGCACCTGCGCAGTCGCCCGGACCACGCGCCTACCGCCAGGCGCTACCCAGGGGGCGATTTGGAACTTGTGCGCACGCGCCTTGGACCGCGCCTGCGCACTGCGGCCCGGGAGTCCAGAGGAAACAGCGGCGGGGAAGGGGCGGGCTTGACCCCGGGTCTTACGCATGCGCGCGGGGCACAAATCATTTGGCGGGTTTTGCCCGCTGCGAGTAGTTTTCCCGGGACGCTGAGGTGCCCCGCGGCGGCTCTCAGGAAACCGGACGTTCTCCCCGGAGAGTCTCTCTGGAGATTTCTCCTCTTTTCCTTCGCGGCGGGGGCTGGCACTCCCGTGCCACCCCCCTCCCACTTTTGTTTTGATTTTTTTGGAAAATCAAAAGCGTCGGCTGACGGCTGAGGCGAACACGGCCTGACGTCTCTGGTCTTGTTGGGGGGTCACTTGCCGTTTCGGCCGCGCCTCCCGGAGGCTGAAAGGACCCAGAGGAACGTCGGGTCGCGTTCCGCGCCTCGGGGCGGCTCCCTGCGCCTCACCATGATCGTGTCGTCCCAGCACCTGGCGGAGGAGCTGCAGCTCTTCGGCCTGGACTGCGACGAGGCGCTGGTTGAGAAGCGTGAGTCCCGCTTTCACCTGACTGACGTGCGGCGGGGGGGGGGGTTCGGAGACGAATTGTTGGAGCCGAAGTGCCTGGGTCCCGGCTCGTACTTGAACCGTGGTTAAATCGACGTCTTTTCGGGAAGGCGGTGCTGGGGCGGGGTGTGCAGGGCGCCGTTTGGGGCTCTGCAAGGTGCCGGGAGTCCCAGTCCCTCCCCTCCCTGTCGCGGCTCCAGGAACCCCGGAGAACCTCATCAGAGCAGGGAGGGGGCCACGAGATTCCGTTTCAGCCCGGGAAGGGAGTGCTGGGGGCGATGGGCCCCCCCACCCCCCACCAGGAGCGGTGACCGCGGGAGGTGGCGCCCAGACCGTCCTGCTGGGCAGTGCGAGGAGCTGTTTGCCCATCCGATCTCAGGACACGCCAGTTTCCCGCTTGGGAATGACCATGACAGGTCCCGAACCAGACCGGAGCCCTTTGGGCTTCAGAACTGGGTTCGTTTTCGGGTTTTATCTTGGACCTGGAGCCTTTTTTTTTTTTTTCTAAAAAGAGACTTTTCGGGGAGGTTGTGGGGCTGCATCCAGGGTGCTCAGGGTTTGTTCCTGGCTCTGCACTCAGGTATCACTCCTGGCGGGGCTCTGGGGACCTTAAGGGGTGCCAGGGATTGACCCCTAGTTTGGGTGCATGTGCAGGGCCAGCGCCTTCCCATCTGTCCTATCGCTCTGGCCCCTGACAGGAGACTTGAATGAGAACCTTGGTCTTGGGCGGAAATGCCGGGTGCACCTTACCCCAGACAGCCGGAGTGGGGTGTGTCAAGACTCCAGCCAGGCGCCTCCAAATTCCCTCGTCCCTGGGGGGGGCTCCTAGAATACAAGGCTTTTGCTTCATCCGTGCTACTTACCATCCTTATGTGTTCCCCGCTTTACTGCCCTTCACCAACCTAGTCATTCTAGATGCTTCTTTTCCAGCTTCATCGGGGCGCTCTGTCCCGCTCTCAGCTGATACCTTCCGACTTGGCTGAGGAGACAGACGCCATTAGGAAAGTTCCCTGAGTTCCCACTCATATCTGCCTGCCTGCTTCCAGTTTCAGTGGATACATCCTCCATATTCCTAGCAAGAGCCAGGCCAGCCATGGAGTCCCGAGCCCCCACTCCTCCTGAGGCCGTCGCCCCAGGAAGTTGCCGTCCTTGCCTGTTTGCCAAAATATTTTGTCTTTTGGCCAGCGGAGGAAAGTGGTTCTTGGTTTTGTTGTTTTGGCGATTTTCCTCAGCTTAGCGGATCTGCTTAGGGGTCGCCCCCAGGGATGCCCAATAGACCACCTAGTGCTGTGGGTGGAGCTCAGTGCTCCACCAGGGACGCCACCTGTAAAATCTTATCACGCCGAAGGTTGTGTGTTCACGGGCTCACTGGATGGCTCTTTCTCACCTCCTGCGTTTGGTGCTCTTTTCTTTTTTTTCTTTTTTGCTTTTTGGGTCATACCCGGCAATGCACAGGGGTTACTCCTGGCTCTGCACTCAGGAGTCACTCCTGGCGGTGCTCAGGGGACCATATGGGATGCTGGGAATCAAACCCGGGTCCCGGGTCGGCCGCGTGCAAGGCAAATGCCCTACCCGCTGTGCTATCGCTCCAGCCCCCGTTTGGTGCTCTTGAGTCCTGTGTGTGGCCTGGATCGGGATGGCTGTTCTTTCTCTCAAGCTTGAGCCCCTCTCGCTCTGACTCTCCATCTTCGAGCTTACAATCTTGGTTTATATAGCAATCACGTAAGGCGGTGACATAAAGGTGGGTTGAATATTAACAAATCAACAATGAGAGGTAAAACCACTCCTCCAGGAGATTAACTCGAGGATAAAATCTCATCTACAGAGTACTCCCGATTACTAGGAGATGTGCTCAAGGGTGGGATCCTGACAAGGGTGTGTTCTTTCCTCAGCTAGTAATCTACTTAAATAGTTGTAGTAAATCTACTTCTAATATTTCTAGCAATGTCATTCTGTGTGAGCACAGTAAGAGATATAAACATCTCATTATACATTTTGCAGTCCTCAGCCCAGGTTAGTCTTCCTAGCCCCAGCAGGGTCCTAGTCTCGTCGTTACTTTGGATCATGACAGCATTTGTCCATGATCATGCCCTCAACTTATAGTAGTTGAGTATTGTGGCGCTTTGGCCTGGCCCATTTCGAAGCCAGGGTAGCTCACCGCTTGCCCTGGGTCCATTCAGTCCCTCGTCGGGACCCTGCTTTTGGGGTGCTAGGAACTAAGGGCAACTGAGTCAAGAAAGCAGATGCCCAGGAGTAAATGTTATTCGGAGTCAATCAACTCCCAAGTTACAAAGCATAATATTAACTGTCTTCCTGTGTCCATACAGAAAAGACATTGCTTACAATACAAGTTCAGTGTCCTTAGAGGGATGTGACCCGATAGACCTAAGCTACCTGAGGAAGGACAGAACAGTGTTATCCTACACTCCCTCACAAGACACTTGTGCTCCGGCCCTTGGAGCCATCTCCCCAGCCTGAAGCAGGGTTCCTAGTCACGTGGTTCACATCCCACTTCCCGCTCTGGCTCTCCCCAGTTACCTGTTACTCAGGAGGGCTGTTTTCTGCTTGCCCTCCCTCCCGCTTTCCTCTGTAAACCTATTTACCCAGGTTTCATCCCCACCTCCTCATGGTAACAGTTTTCGTCAGGGTCCCTGATGTCCTTTATCTGGCTAACGCCCGCGGTGGCCATCTTGAATGATGCAAACTTCTCCCTGCTCACCATGCCTCTCCTGTAAGACGCAGTGTCTGTTTGGCTTCGCGCTCGCTGCTCTTAGTTGCTCTCCTACTTGCTTTCTGTGCTTTCTAGGTTCCTGCTTGTCCTGCGGTGTCCTGACTTGGTCGCAAAGCCCAGATTTCCTGCTCCAGCTGCAGGCTGGACTTCCTGCTGCCCACTTGCTATCTCAGATGGTTGCGGGGCTCCTCCCCCCGTCCCCTTCCTGCCTTCCCGCACAGTTAAGAGCTCTGCATCCTTGGGTCCAGAGGTAACACAGCGAGCAGATAAGGCACTGGTCCTGCTGTGGCTGGCCTGGGTTCCTGGGGTCCATCCCTGGCACCACATGGGCTCCTTCAAGTCCCTCCAGAGGCGATCCCTGACTTCAGAGCCAGGAGTAGCCCCAGAGCTCCGCAACCTTCCTGATGTTCTGGCTGCAGCAGCCGCGGCCCAGCCTGTCACCAAAGCTCCTGGCTTCGCTCCTGTGATGTCCCCTCCCCACAGGCTGGTGCCACCTTCCCCTATAGAACAGCAGATCGTGTGTTCTTGCTTTGCTCAAACCTTCTGGTGTCCCACCTGCCCCAGGGGTACCAGCGTCACTGTGGTGGCCCCCATCTGCATCTTTTTACCCTTCCCACTCGCTCACCTTTCATCTCCCCTTCCTCATACCAGGGCCCTGCTGGCCAAGCTTCTGGGTCTTGGCCTGAACTTCTTCCCATTGGCCCTGCCTGGGTGCTCCTTCACTTCAGGTCCCCTCAGCCTGCCCTCTCAGGGTGCGAGTCACTGGCCCCCTTGGCTCTTCTCTGACAAGAAGAGGTTTTGCCAAGTTCTCATGCCTAGGACTGTGATGCTGATGGATTGACAGATTATTCTCTCGTTTCAGAGTGAATACTGCAAGAAATGGAATGAAACAGGCTTGAGTGATAGACAGTACAGCGGGGAGGGCATTTGCCTTGCATGCGGCTGACCCGGGTTTGATCCTCGGCATCCCATAGGATCTCCCAATCCCTGCCAGAAGTAATTCCTGAGTGCAGAGCCAGGAGTAACCCCTGAGCCTTGCCGGGTGTGACCCCCCCCCCCTCCAAAAAAGGCACACGATAATAACAACAACTGAGAAATGGAACGAAATTCACATTTTTCCAACTTTTCTTTCCTCCCAGTGGTGGATCTGTGCGTTCAGTATGAGCAGAACGAGGAGGGAATGGTGGGTGAACTTATCGCCTTCTGTACCAGCAGGCAGAAAATGGGCCTCACCTCAGAGATCCTGACCTCCTTTGAGCACGAGGTAAGCAAATGGAAGGGACTGGCGAGTACCATTTTCCGTTTGTGCTCACACAGCAAGATGTGAGAAATAGAAGCGAGGGGCTGAAAAAAAAACAGCCTGGGTTTCTGGTGTGAGCTGGGCTAGGCTCCGTCTCCGGTCTCATCTCTGCTGGCCTTGGTTCCCACCCAGTGACCCTGGAGTTCATATTTGTTGTCTTTGGAAGAGCTGCATGAGGAGACAGCGTTGCCTCTAACTGCCTCTGGGGTGCTGAATCTTCCGCAGATAGTGGTGGTAGTATTAGAATTGTTTCGTGATGTTGTGAAGTAGGAGTTTTTGTTTTTAGCCTAGCATGCATCTTTTGAATTCTTTGAGACATTTGATATCTTTGGTTATAATTTGGGGCGTGGGGGGTGGGCCACACACCCAGTGGTGTTCAGGGGTTATTGCTGGCTCAGCACTCAGGGATCTTGCCTGGTGATGTTCAGGGGACCATATGGGATGTTGGGGATTGAACCCTGGTTGGCCTCCTGCAAAGCAAGCTCCTTACTCGTCTCTCCCCAACTCCCAAACTTTGGTTATAAACTTGCCAGATCATTACTTCCCAGGTATGGAAAATGCCTCCGCTTTCACTTGTCTTGGGAATAATCCGTTATTTTTCCTTCCTCAGTTTCTGAGCAAAAGAATATCCAGAGCCAGACACAATGCCTCCAAGGACAGTGGGCATGCGGGAGCTCGGGACATTGTTTCCATCCAAGAGCTGTATCCTTTCCTGAAAAAGGCTTTTCACCTGCCACAACTGGGCTGCTTAGTTGAATCTACAGTGACATTTAAACGCATGTCATAGGACCCCCAAAAGGGGTGGGGGGTTTGGGGGCCATACCTAGTGATAGGCATAGCAGGTAGGGCGTTTGCCTGACACACAGCTGACCTGGGTTTCCTCTTGGCACCCTGTATGTTCCCGAGTTCTCTAGGAGTGATCCCTGAGCACAGAGCCAGAAGTAAGCCCTGAGCCTTGCTGGGTGTGGCCTCAAAAACAAACCCTAAAAAGCAGGCCAAAAATACAGTACAAAGGTTCAGTCGCTTGCTTAGCATGTAGTTGTAGCCGTGACCCTGAGCATTGACAGGGGAGGCCCAAAACAACAATGACAATAAAATGCCTAATATTACAGGTTTTTTCAGTCAACTACTATCACGGTAGCATTGGGAGTCAAAATGTACCGTTTTTCTTTCTTTGTTTTGTTTGGGGGCTACACTTGGCTGTGCTCAGGGCATACTCCTGGCTTTGTACTCAGGGATCACTCCAAGAGGGACTTGGGCAACCGTATTTGGTGCTGGAGAGTAAATTCAGGTCATCCGCATGCAAGGCAGGTGTCCTGCCCACGCTACGATCGCTCTGGCCCCCGTGTTGTTTTTCTTAGCCAATATTTTCAGAATTGAAGTGGAAGAGGAAGAGGAGACGCTCCTGAACGCTTACACCACACCCTCGAAGGTGAGTAGACACTGGAGAGATGCATTCTAGAACTTTTCTTTCTCCTGCAGCATTAGCGCTGCCTTTGAAGTTCTGAGCAAAATTAACCTGTTGCTACTATCACCCCACATATGCCATTTATGGGGACCCCACAGTGCTGGGGACCAAACCCGGGGCTCCTGCCTGCAAAGCATGTGCTCCAGCCTTTTGCTCCATCTTCCCAGCCCCTGCATGAATGTTTTTACAGAGTCCTTGTGAACACACAGCTATCCTGCTTTTTTTTCTTGAGAGTGCATCGTGAGAGTTTTGGGAACATGATTCCTTCAGAATTAGTCCTTTACCACAGTTGCATAGTTTTCTATAACCTGGAGGAATAGAATCAAATAATCCAGGTCTGATGGTGGACCCGTGCGAGAGGGAGTGCGCGACTGTGGGAAAGTTCTGCCCCCGAGTCTTCTGCCTAAAGACCTCTGGCCTCAGTCAGAGGACCTTGTCTTGCAGGCAGCCAACTCTGCTTCATTCCCTGGCATCACTCCTGCTGTCCCCAGGGGTGAGTGCTGAGAGTTGCCAGGTGTGGCCCCAAAACAAAAAGAAGTGACTGTATGCTTTGTGTGTGCCAGGACCCAAGTGTGATCCCTAGCCTGGTGTGCCCCACCCACCCAGAGCACTGCTGGATGTAGCCCCAGAACACTGCTGTAGGAGAAACACAGCCAAAAATGACATAGTGACCTCAGCAGAATAACTTTTTCTCTGAACAGCAACATCCTTTATGTCAACATCAGAATTTATTTAATGAGGAGCTACTATGTGCCCCTGCCCTAGACACACTGGGAAAGCAGTAGCGAATGTCCAGGCAAGGGCTGGGCTCTCCCTGCTGGAATCTCTTGTTTGTGGATCCTAAATTCCTTTTATTTCTGAAATAGAACCGTGAACGTTCAAAGAACCGCACCCAAAAGTACGGTAGTCAGTGAGTTTCTCTTTTTGTTTGGTTTTGTTTCTAGTCTGTACTTGATGGTGCTCTGGGCCCACTCCCAGCTCTGTGCTTGGGGCTCATTCCTGGCAGTGCTCAGGGGATTGTGCAGTGTCAGGATTGCTCTCAGGCCTCCTGCGTGTGAAGCGCGCACGCAGCCATTGAGCTCTCTCCAGCCCCAGTTAACTTTCTATAAAATAAGTTTGTGCAGGGGGCCGAGTGATAGTACAGTGGGTAGGGTGCTTGCCTTGCACACAGCCAGCACAGGTTTGATCCCCGTTCGATCACTCCAGTCCCCACCAGGAGTGATCCCTGAGCACCTATTGAGCATGGCTTGAGAAAAAAATTAAGTATGTGGGACGATAATCTTGGTGCAGGCCTCCCTGCTTAAGTGATATTGTGGGTTGGGGATATGACTCAATGGGCTTTGCACATGCTTTGTGTGGGTGAGGTCCTGAGTTCAATCCCTGCCTGGCACTGCACGGTCCCCTGAGCACCACCACATGTGACTCTAGTGGTACCCCCATCCCCCAGCACCACCGGGTCAAAGCACTGAACCACCGAGCAGCACGGCCGGGCAAGACTCAGTGCATGCCAGGTCCCCTGAGTGTAGCTTGGGAAGCCCCACGCCCCAAAAAAGAAAATTCGATTATAGGAAAGAAGGAAAGTGATTTAGGCGTGCCTGTGGACGGTGCGATGACTAACAGCGTCCACCGAACCCTGGCACAGAACCAGGTGCGTGAGAGGAAAGGAAATAAGGCGCTTTCCCCAGCTCACCAAGTAGAGACAATAGTTAATACTTGCTTTTCCTCCCTGAGGCTGGTTCTCTCTTAGACTCCACACTCCTCTGAAGCAACCTCCACTCTTCTGTTTGTTCCCACCGGGAACCCCGAGTTCCTGAGTTTTGGCGGCTGAGTGTGATCCCTGGGTATGACCCACCAGAAAAGAATTTTAAAGTCCACTTTCTAGTTGAGCTTCTTAATGATGCTATTGAATCCTGTCGGCCCTCCCATCCTGTAAAAACTCAAACGCGCCACCAGGAGGAGCCCGCGAGCAGGGAAGTCGCTGCCCTCGGGCCGGGAGAGCACTTCGCTGGGCCTTTTCATCCCAGATCACGGAACAGCTTCTAGAGAAGTGAACTGCGCACTCCAGCCTCTGTGGTGGGCGTACTTGAATTTTTTTTTTAAGTGAAACACCACGAGGTACAGTTATAGACTTACAAATTTTTGTGCTTGGGTTTCAGTTATACAATGATCAAATACCCAGCCCTCCACCAGTGCTCATTTTCCACCACCACGGGCCCCAGTATCCCTCCCAACCCCCATTCCCCCATCCCACCCTGTCGAATTCTTGAGTGACCTGCCGTGAGATATTTGCTGTGTGGTGCTGGGGCCCGAGCTCGAGCTGTTAGCTGCCCACAGCCCTCCAAAAACACACAGCAGACTCGGTCAAAATGTGTAAGAACGGGGTACCCAACTTGCCACTGTCCCAACACGGAGCCCACAGGGAAAAGAAAGTGGTGTGGGGATTAAACTGGCCCATTTAGAGTTTGAACATGTTTGAGGGGCTGTGGGCTCACGGTCGAATGGCCCGCAACGGGGGGATAGTGTTCTGGCAAATAGCGGGTTCCTTCTCTGAGAGAGATGCCCCCCCTCAGCGGTTCTCTTCTCCCTCGGAGGCCCTGGGTTTGAGCCTCTGCGTGAAAGTCACTCCAAAGCGGGTTCCTGAGCTCTGGTTTTCCCTTCTGTTTCTAGGGTTCTCAGAAGCGAGCCATCGCCACCCCAGAAACCCCGCTCACAAAAAGGAGGGCGTCGGCCCTCAGCCCACATCAGCTCCTCTCACCGTCAAGCTTCTCCCCCAGGTACAGTTGTGTGTTGTCGTGTCCCATTCCCCCCGCCCCCCACTCGTGCCCTGACCCCGCCTGCTTGCCCTTCCTGCACGGAAAGTTACTGTTTCTTACAGTAATTAAGGAAATTCACTTTCCACCCACTTTCTCAGGCCGTTTCCTTGATGGGGAACTGATACCCCGGGCTGCGAACAACCTGTCTCTTCAGAGGCCTGTGTGTCCTGGGGGGGTGGGAGGGAGTCGAATGGGGTCCCCCGCTGTTCGCTTGTGTGTTATTGGCTTGTGTTTGCAGCTAAAGCGTTTGTTTTTAAAAGGAGAGGCAGTTGTCTTTGTTCTGAATATTGTGTCACTTGTTTATTGTTCCTCGCTCAGGTTACAACTAGTTTCTGAGCGTTTTCTTGTCCCCGTGAGGCCACACTGACTTCATTGTAGGCTGAGCCCGGCCTGCTGCCACCGTTGCCTTAAAGCCACCAAGCTCAGGGGTGCTTGTGAGAAATCCATAAATGACATGTCTGACGGCCGAGAGTTCCATGGGTGAGGGCCCTGGAGGAGTGGAGGCAAGGCTGGGGGCGCTGCCTCCCGGGGAGGGGAAGCCCCCCCCCCCATTTCAGAAAATGCTGACTGCATATCGCTTCTTCGAGAAGCAGAGCTTAAGACTTTGCAGTCTCTTCACTCGGGACGGGGAGAGTGCTGTTACAGGCAGAGGGCAAAGCCGTCTCTGGCTCCCAGGCCACTGTTTTTTGGAAGGAATGCTTGGGTCGCTCCCGGCAGCCCACAGGACTTACTCCTGGCCCTGTGTGTCTGGCAGTGCTCGGGACACCATCTGGGATGCCAGGGATCAAACCTGGGTCAGCCCCATGCAGACATCGCCCTCCCCGCTGTGCTATGGCTCCAGCCCCAGGGCCCGTGAACTCTGTGTGGTCCCTCCCTGGGCTCTGGGGCGGCTCCTCCCACTTCTGAGGGCAGCTCTCCCCGTGGACAAGGGCATCTGTGAAACCTAGTGTCATGAGATGACCCTCTTCGGTGCTCCAGCAGCAGGCTCGGCTCTGACCCCAGACAAGCCACCGCCCTGTGTGCCCGCCGGCCTGGCGTGAGCGTCGGATGCATTTGAGGTGGCCCATCCCACGCAGCTTCCCAGGGAGGGGCCGGCGGGGGTCGGGGCTTCGCCGCCTCCTCATTTCTTAATTCATGCTAATAAAGCTGACATCAGAAACTGGTTTTGTAATTTCTGAAAGCAGCTCCTCAATTATTCAGCTCGAGGCAGCCCTGAGCTAGCGATAATGAACCGAGCTCATTTTCTGGAAGGCTGCGTGGTCTCGGCCGCCGTGGAGCCGCTAAAACCGGGCTGTGCAGTTTCGGTGCGTCGGGACTGCATTTCCCAGTGCACTCGCTGCCCGGGGCTGGACATCCGCAAGTGGGGGTGCTTGGCCCACCAGCTGGTCCGATAACATCTTTTCCTGGGCTTTCTGCCTTGCACCCCGCAGTAAGCCACTGTTGGTTTGCACGCAACTTCACGCTTGGCCGAGGTAGCAAGCTCCGATGATGTCCCACAAAATGCTAAAAAATGTCACCGGAAAGAAAAGAACGTGGAACTTCCAGCTTGTTCTTTCAGCCAGTTCAGAGTCGGGGATTTGTTCCTCTTTGTTTAGATTAAAAGCAGCGGAGTAGCAGCCTTTTAGCTGTCTCTGTCTCCCGGCTTCTCTAAACACGATTGGTATTCCTCCGCTGCTCCCTCGGCCCCTCATTCCTGAAATTCCTTGAAGGTCCCGGTATGTCCAACCCCATTAAACTGATTAGATTCATAAATTCTGAGGCCAGCTTGCAGTTTCTCTAATCCTCACTTTCAAAAACTGCTCTCAGTGGGAGGCCCTGGGTTCAGTCTTTAGCGTGGCAAAAAAAAAAAAAAAAGCAATAATTCAGGACCAGAGAGAATGTAGCGGATAAGGCGCTTGCCCTGCTCACGGCTGAGCCAGGTTCAACTTACGGCACTGCTCATGGTACCCCTGAACGCTGCCAGAGGCACCCCCAAGCACACCGCTAAGAGAAGCCCCAGCACGGCCAAATGTGGCCTAAAAACTAAAACACAAAAAAGTGGGCCAGAGAGTAAGTCCAGCCAGAAAGGCACTTGACTTGCACACGGCCGGGCTTAGTTTGATTCCTCCAAGAGGGATCCCTCAGCACTTCTGGACGTGACCCCCAGCCCCGGGAACAAACAAAAGCCCAAACGCTGCCCACATCTTCCTGGCTTCATGTGGGTTCGAGGACGGTAAGGCTCGTCTGTTTGGCGTCTGTTCAGCGCCACTCCCTCCCAGAAATACAACTTGCGGAGCAACCGAGGAGAAGTGGTCGTGTCCTTCGGCTCGGCCCAGGGAGTGTCGTGGTCGGGGCGAGGAGCCACTAACATCAGCCTGAAGGTCGTGGGGGATCCAGAGCCACTAACGGGAAGCTACAAATCCATGTTCCAGAAGCTCCCAGACATTCGAGAAGGTGATTTATTTCCCTTTGAAAATCTGGAGAATATCAAACCATCTGGAAGAGCTTAGAGGGAGTCGCAAAGCTTGTGAGGTTGCCAAACAAGTTCCGGGGGCACCTTTGAACCTCTTACTTGGGGAAATTCCTGGGGGGAGGCACTAGGGGGAGGGACACATGGCGCTCCTCAGTCTTTCTCCCAACTCACATTTCTTTTCCTTTTTTTGGGGGGGGGGGTTGTTTTTGGACCAATGTCCTGACCACATTGCTCAGGACTTATTCTTAGCTCTGCACTCAGGGATCGCTCCTGGTGGGGTTCAGAATGCTTTACAGGGTGCCGAGGATCAAACTTGGGTTGGCTGCATGCAAAGCTAGCCTGTTACTCACTGTACTGTCTTCGGCTCCCCAGCTCACATATCTTTTTTTTTTTTTTTTTTTTTTTTTTTTGCTGTTTGGATCATACCCAGCAACGCTCAGGGGTTGGTTACTCCTGGCTCTGCACTCAGGAGTTACTCCTGGCGATGCTTGGGGGACCATATGGGATGCTGGGAATCAAACCCAGGTCAGACACGTGCAAGGCAAACGCCCTACCCGCTGTGCTATTGCTCCAGCCCTGCAGCTCATATATCTTTATTTTGTTGTTTTGGGGCCTCACCCGGTGTTGCTCAAGGCTTACTCCTAGCTCTGTGCTCAGGGATCTCTCCTGGCGGTGCTTGGAGACCATATGGGATACTGGTTCAAACCCGGATCAGCCTTGTGTAAGGCAAATGCCCCGCGCCCCCCCACCCCCGTACTCTTGTGCCGCCATGCCCATTTTCCCACGCTCCCCAACCCCCCACATTTTTTTGCTCAAGAAAAAAATGACAGTATCACCCACTTGAATTTTGTGAATGAAGCCGATTAAAGCCAGAGCTGCTTCTGGCTGCTCTGTCAAGTGGGGATGCCCTCCCCTCCCCTTCCCCCCCACTGATGACTGATGGGAGTGAAAGTGGGCGGGGGTCATGCTGCCTGTGATCTGTGGCTGACGTGAAGGCTCAAGCATCCCACACCAGGAGAGAGGCTGGGTGTTCAGGGAAGCAGGAACTGCCCAGGTGTCTGGGCCTTGACCTCCTTGCTTACTTACCTGTGGGCTGTGTTTTCTGTTTGCCAAGTGAAGTGTCCGAACAACAACTTTTCCTTCTGGGATTTCAGTTTTGACCTGCAAAATAGAAGAACTGGGCTGTGACCTCAGGGACCATTACAGGATCGAGGTGTTCACACCGGTCCTCGCTCCGGCGCAGGTAAGAGGTGGCCAGTGGGGGCTGGAGCGATGGCATAGCGGGGAGGGTGTTTGCTTTGCACACGGCCTACCCGGGTTCGATTCCCAGCATCCCATATGGTCCCCTGAGCACCGCCAAGGGTAATTTCTGAGTGCAGATCCAGGAGTGACCCCTGTGCATTGCCGGGTGTGACCCAAAAAGCAAAAAAAAAAAAAGAGGTGGCCAGTGGCCCTTCCTGCTTGTGCCTGAGGGTGAATGAGGCCTCTTGCTTCCTTTTTCCCCCTTGTCTCCCTCTGGTAAGAGCGTCTGTCTGTCGTGGTGGAATCTGGCCCGCAGGGCAGGTGCTTGCTTGTCCAACCCGAGTTTGATCCCAGGAACCACATATGGTCCCCTGAGCCCTGCCAGGGGTGAGTCCTGAGCACTGCCAGGTGTGGCCCAGAAACAGAAAGGAAAGACTTCAGAGTGCTTTGTCCTTTGGGACCCACTGTTCTCATTGTACTCATTGACCTGGCACAGATTTGGCGCCCCTTCCCCTCAGCAGCGAGGCAGCAGGTACCCCTGTATCCCCCCGGGATTTCTCACAACTTGAACCCTTCCTGTCTCAGCTCCGAGGCCACAGCAAGGGCAGGATCCAGAGTGACTCGGTCTATCCCTGGCTCTGTCCGCATTGTCACCGGCCAACTCCTGCCAACAGCATTTCTGTCAGGGTTTAATCAGGCCAGTGCTTTCTCCAGAAGGTCTGTCAAGCTAAGGAAGACATGTTCCAGAAGATTCTTTAACTCTGTCCCATATTTGCCTCCAGAGAATGGCCGAATGGGAGAGATGTGCAAAACCATGTCACATAAGGAAGTTTGGGAGGAAGTGGAGGGGTGCAGGCAGGATGCGTGAGCTTGTGGGAAAAGATTAGGCAGCCTCCAAGTGCCCTGGGGTGGGACCAGGCCAGAGGAAGCACCGGGGGAGAAATTTCAGCGCCATCTAATGAAGAGCTTCCTGTTACGAGCTTGTTGGTGTGTGGTTAAGGAAATGCCTCTGGAGCCAACCTTGGCCTGAAACCCGGGCTTCGCCCGCTGTTTGCCCTCTGCACTTGTGTCCTCCTCGGTGGGCGGGTGCAGAGCTGGATCCCCCCCGGCGGGGCTCGGAAGTTTGAGTTCGTTTGCACAAGCTTTTTTAACACAGTGCCTGGTGTTAGCCTGGCAAATGGGGCTGTTCCTAACAGCCAGCTCCCCGAGACCCTTGGGGTACCAGGCTACCTTCATCTTCACTGGAGAGGTTTCCAGCCCAGGTTGCCACTAAGAGGAACTCGGGTCTGACTGGGTGAGTCCTTCACCCCAAGACTCAGGGATGCTGTTTGCAGTCACCTCGTGGTAAGGCCACTCCCCAAGAAAGTTTATGGTTTTCGGGTTTCCTTTGCTGTTCACCTTCGAGCTTCCATCTCAGAGAACTGGAGTTTTTGGGGGGGCGTATTCTTGCTTTTTAGAGGGATCGCACCCAGCGAAGCTCAGGGCTTCCTCTTGGCTTCTGTGCTCAGGAGCAATTCCCGAAGCGCTCGGGGCCGTCAGCGGATGCTGCCAGGCCACTGCCTTCCCCCTGCACTGCCTCTCCGTCCCGAGACTCACACTGTCCCATCCGCCCTCGGGTAGGAGCCCGTCACTCTGCTGGGCCAGATCGGCTGTGACAGCAACGGGAAGCTCAACAGCAAGTCTGTGATCCTCGAGGGAGATAGAGAACATTCTTCGGGTGCCCGAATTCCAGTGGACTTAGCGGAGCTCCAGGACTATTCCCTGTTCCCCGGCCAGGTGAGGTGGGCGGGCGCACCCTTCCCCTGAGGCCCCCCCAGAGCCCAGCTCCCCCAGCTCTGGCCACCGCCCAGCGCCGGCCCAGGCTCCTGGCCACGATTCCCGGCAGGAAAGTGGAAGTCATCGAGCTGACCTCACACAGTCATTGTGAGAATTAGGTCATGGGCTCAGAGCAATAAATTGTCCTCACCACTCTCCCTCCCTAAATTGTTTTCGGGTACCCGCGTTTGCGTGTGAGAGTAGCTGGGTAGCACTTTCTTTTCCGTGGAGGATGCCCCGAGGATTGGGATGGGCCAGCAGTGCCGGGGCTCGAAGGGGACACGCGCCCCAGCCTGGACGGTCCATGTCCGAGTGTCATAATCCCCGTTCCAGCTCATCCTTAAGCCCCTGCGTTGCTTCTTGGCTTTCAGGTTGTAGTGATGGAAGGAATCAACACCACCGGCGGCAAGTTTGTGGCCACCAAGCTCTACGAGGTACCTCAGGGCACACCTCCCCCACACTCTTCCTGATCAGCAGCAAAGCTTCTGAAGCTTTTTCCACGCGTGACCCTTTGCTCCCGAGAAACGCAGCGCGGGCGGGCACTGCAAGAGTCACCTCGGATTTATGGCCTGCTTGATTTTCCCTTGATTTTTGGTCTTTGCGCATGTGCAGACTTGCTGTCGCCATGGTTTTTCGTGAGTCCTGTAAGGACCTTTGCTGGGCCCTCCGGAGAGGCTGAGGGCTGGCAGGAAGCTGCAGCGCCGGTCTGCAGGCTCACACTGCACGCTGCGGCCTGTGCCAGAGCTGCCTCAGCCAGTCCGGCAGGTTTGGCCAAGGGCGAGTGGGGGCGGGGGTCCTCTCCCTGCCCCAGGCGCAAGCCCCCGCCCCAGGCTCTCTTGCCTGCAGGGAAGCAACTGAGGCACACAGCACCCCACCCCCAGCCCTGCCCGGATTGCGCTGAGGCTGAGGCACCTCTTTTGGGCCCTCTTTCCCTGGATGATCGGGCTTGAGCCTCCAGTTCTCCTGACCTGGGGTCTTGGGAGTCTCCCAAGCAGTGCTCGGAGGCAAGTGAGACCAGTGATTGCGTGTGATGCCTGAGGCTGCAGGGGCCCTGTGGGTGCCTCGGGGTCTGCTGTGACCAGGTCAGGTGCTTGCAGGGCTTTGGCTTCACCCCTGGACTGTCTCCTCAGCCCTGCCCCAACAACATAGACAAACAGCAGGTGCCCTCAGTCCTGCAGCCTCTGGGTTCCCTTGAGTGAGTGCCCCTCCCCCTCCGCACAACCCAGACTCCCCCCAGCGCCCCCATTGGGCCAACCCTCAGTTTCCCTTTACTCCTTATTTGCAGGGTGTGCCTCTTCCGTTTTATCAGCCCACCGAAGAAGATGGAGGTGAGATGCGGTTTGCACTTTTCCCAGAGCAGGGGTGGTGGATGAGGGTTTGAGTTCCCCTCCCAGAAGGCTGTGCGCCTGCCTGCCCACTGTGGGTGCCAGCGTCTGAGCCTCAGGGATGTGCTGGCGTTACCAGCAGGTACCAACGAGTACATAGGCACAGTTTTTTGTTTTTTGTTTTTGTTTTTGCATCACACCCAGTGATGTACAGGGGTTAGTTGCTTCTGGATCATGCACTCAAGAATTACTCCTGGCGGTGCTCGGGGGCCCATATGGGATGCTGGGAATTGAACCCGGGTCAGCCATGTGCAAGGCAAATGACCTACCCACTGTGCTATCGCTCCAACCCCATGGGCACAGTTCTTATCACCAGGCATGGAGACTCTCTAAAGGCAGTGATGTACTGGAGATCTCGGCTTGGGGCTGTGGCCAGGGACATCAGTGGAGAGACGGTGCCATCTAGGTGAAGGAAGGGTCTGTGGTGGCCGAGATGGGACATGAGGGCTCCGGCCTGGCTTTACCCTCCGTCCTGCCTTTGCAGTGCATCTCCAATTCTGGTCATTCCAAAAGGAAGCGTTTGCCCAGAAACTCGATGAGTATCTAAGAAGGCCGGGGGCTGTTTGGTAGCCAGGGTAGAGGTGAAAGGCGAAGAGCAGTCTGGTCAACATTGCTTCAGAGTCTTTCCCAGCACGTGTGTCAGGCGTGTCTATTGGGGAGTGAGGGGGCACAGTCTGCCCTAGGCCGCCCACCATTCACGCAGATTCCTACAGACCCTCACATCGGAACACAGGTTAGGGTTTATGCCTTGGTCCAGCAGTGGGAAGTAACGTGTACTGGCCGTGAGAGCAGCGAGGTGGTGTGGCATGACCCACAAGAAATAGGTGGTTGGGGGCTGGAGCCATAGCACGGAGGATAGGGCGTTCGGCTTGCATGGGACCGACCCGGGTTTGTTCCCAGCATCCTATATGGTCCCCCGAGCACTGCCAGGAGTAATTCCTGAGTGCAGAGCCAGGAGTAACCCCTGTGCATTGCTGGGTGTGACCCAAAAAGGGGAAAAAAAAAAAGAAACAGGTGGCCGTGGGAGAGGAGTGATGTGGGGACAGTGTGCTGGGGCACACATTTGGGAACTATGCAAGAGGCTAACATGTTTTGTGGGGGACCCAACTGAGATAGACCCATCCCGGCCCGCGGCTACTGCCTCTTCCACCTCTCCCCTCCCGGGGACTCCGCCCACCCAGAACCATCTCTGTCCCCTACCCTGCCCAAAGCTTTGACTTCTCCCATCGCACCGTGTCTCTGCAAGGCTCATAGTGCCCGTCCCCAGATTCAGGGGCTGGTGAGTATTTGTTGTATTTGGCTAAGGGGACTTGGCTGGTATGATGTGCTTAGGCATGTAGAGATGCAGGGAACCTCGCCTGGGACTGCCCTGGCCCTCTGTGTTTGTTTGTTTGTTTGTTTGTTTGTTTGACTTTTGGCTTTTTGGGTCACACCCAGCGGTACTCAGAAACCATATGGGATGCCAGGGTTCGAACCTGGGTCGGCCACTTGCAAGGCAAACGTCCTCCCCGCTGTCCTATCACTTCGGCCTCAGCCCTCCGTGTTGACAGGGAGCACAGGAGAGCAGAATCAGACCTGAGAGGTTAGGCTTTGGCTTTAAAGCTGGGAGGAAGGGGCCAAGAGCTAAGGGCTGCAGGCAACCTCCAGCAGCTGGGGGAAGCCAGGAAACTGGCTGTGGGCTCCTGCACCTTGACTGTAGGACCCTTGAACTTCAGCTGTGAGGCCATTGTTCCGGCAGCCCCTGGGGGCTGGTTGTGAGCTATAGAAATTTCAGACTAAGGAAAAGGGAAGTTTTCTTTTTTTATAGTCTATGTGAAATATATATATATGTGTGTGTATATATAAACATGTATCCCCTCCACCCCCGGGCCCTCTAGAAACTGAAAAAGGGAAAATATTAGGGGAAATCCAGGCTTCGAACCAACATCACAACAATTTTGCCAGCTGTTTCCTCCTGTCGCCTCTGCTGCACTTGGTCAGCTCAGTGGTGGCCTTTCCGCACCCTTGGAGAGCTGGTAATACACAAGTGCATTTTTCCCTGAGCTCGTGGGTTCTTGAGAACTGCATGACAGACTTGCACAGAAAATGCAGAGCTATAGTGCAGTGGGGTAAGCGTTTGCCTTGCATGTGGCAGACCCGGGTTCCATCCCCAGAAGCCCCACCAGGAGTGATCTCTGTGCGCAGGGCCAGGAGTAAGTCCTGAGCACTGCCAGGTGTGGTCCAACCCACTCCCTCCCGCCAAGAAAAAAAAAATTGGGTCCGGTCCCTTCCTAGAGTCCAGGAGGCCTCTCCTTTGCCCATGTACCACGTCACTCGTCCCTCGGTGTCATCCAGAGTAGCTGTTTGCATCCTGACCTTCGCCGGCCACTCACCTCCAGTGTACCATGGCCCAGTCTTGTCCTTTACCTACTGGATACTTTCCTAGTCTGAATTTTGCGACTGGAGCCCTGTCACCAGTGTCCTGTCACTGAACCTCTATAGAGCTATACCCCATGGCTCCCTGTCCCCTCGGCTTTCCTTATTCTCCGGTCAAGTCCTTGTGTACTTGGCTCAGGTCCCTGCTGTCCCGCCGTCTGTCTGGTGAGGGGGGCAGAGTACCCGGCCTGGTCTCCTCTCTGCTGCTCTGCCAGCCATCCCATTACCTATTTGGGCTGGATACCTTTTTGGCAGGAGAGGTTTAAAGTGACCAATTGTGAGGGAGGGGCAGAGTGATAATATACCAGGTAAGGCACTTGCCTTGTGTGTGGCCAATCCAGGTTCAATCTCCAGCTCCCTATAGAGTCCCTGAGCACCGCCAGGGGTGATCCCTGAATACAAAGCCAGGAGTAATCCCCTGAGCACCGCGAAGTGTGGCCTAAAAAATGACCGAGGTCGGGGCTGGAGAGATCATACAGCAGGTAGAGTGCAGGGCATTTGTCTTAAAAAACATCCAAGCTGGGTTTGATCCCTGGAGACTCATGGTTCCCCAACCATGGAGTGATTCCTGAGTGCAGAGCAGGGCTAAGCCCTGAGCATCGCCAGGCGTGGCTCAAAAGGAAAAAGACCAGGTAGTACAGCAGATAGGGCTCTGCCTTATACGTGGCCAGCGTGGGTTCAATCCCCAGCACTCCATATGGTCCCCTGAGCACTGCTGAGTGTGGCCCTAAACAAAACAAAAAAAAACCTTAAAAATGGCCAATATAATTAACCAGTTCACCTGTGTTCCACCTTTCCACTCCACCGTATCAGGCTTACCTTGGGGTTCCAGAATCTGGATAGTGTGCTTGGCAGGGGCTGGGTCCCAGGCCTGTCCCCTCATCCAGGGGCCGGCAGGACAGCCCGCCTGAGGACCCGTGAGGGAAAAGGACCCTGAGTAGCTCAGCTGCCTCCCCCTCTGCTTTGCACCCCAGCCTGCCTTTCTTTTTTTTTTTTTCCTTTTTGGGTCACACCCGGCGATGCTGAGGGGCTACTCCTGGCTTTGCATTCAGGAATCACTCCTGGCAGTGCTCGGGGGAACATATGGAATGCTGGGAATTGAACCCAGGTCGGCCGCGTGCAAGGCAAACGCCCTACCCGCTGTACTATTGCTCCAGCCCCCTTTCTGCGTTTCTGTTTTCTGGTGAAAGTTAGGGAGAAGGATGGTGGAGTTGGTGGCGCCGCTCAGAAGCCTGTTTAGTACCACCAAGATGTGGACTTTAGATTGGTCAGGATGGTAAATTTCAGGGTCTTTGAGTGTCACTCAGTAAAATAAAACTGGGGGCCATGTAGGCAGGCCCCCCCCCGGGATCAGCTCGCTCCTTTTTACTGTCGATGTGTGGCCTCCACATGCACCCCTGCCCGCTCCTGGGCCGGGGCTTCTCCAGGCGGTGCCAGGTCCTAGAGCCCCCCGATCTGATCGCCCTTCCTCCCCACTCGGCTTCTGCTGTCATAGATGCTGAACAGAACATGGTCTTGGTGGCCTGTGGGCCCTTCACCACGTCGGACAGCATTACCTACGACCCCCTGCTCGACCTCATCGCTGTTATCAACCACGACCGGCCGGATGTCTGCATCCTGGTAGGCCACCCGAGGGCACTGCCAGCTCGCAGGAACTGGGGAGGGCGCAGGCAGTTCTAAATTCAGGAGCTTTGCTGTTTTCATTCCTGTCCCTGTGGTCCATGTGGTGCTGGGGGGATCCCCTGAATCACAGCCCAGCTCCCAGATGACTCCTTTTGTGGAACTTTTTTTTCCCCCTGGGGTGGGGGTGGCTGGACCACACCCAGTAGTGCTCAGGGCTTGCTTTTGGCTTTGAGCTCAGGGATCACTCCCAGAGAGGCTCAGGTGACCATATGGGGTGCCCAAAATTGAACCCAGGTCATCTTATGTACAGCAGGTGCCCGACCCGCTCTGCTTTCTCCCCAGACCCGTTAGACGTTTTTCAGTTCTCGGTCTTCCTTATGTGGTCTACATCATGGTTCTCAGCTTTTATCGACCTGTCTCCTTCCTGTGGCCCTGACTTACTGCTTGGCCTTCCCATTTAAGGATTTCCCTGCATCCCCCTTGGAACGTCCTGGGGGCCCCAGCTGCGAGACTCTGGCCTACGTCTTCAGTGTTGGCCAGGCGGCCCCCCAGTTAGCGAGAAGGTTCTCATTTGTCCTTTTCCTTCCTTTTTTCTTCCCCCCTCACGCCACCCCCTGGGCAGTTCGGACCTTTCCTGGATGCGAAGCATGAGCAGGTGGAGGTGAGTGACTGGTGCTGGGCGGTTTTACCTAGAGTTGCTGTCTCTTAGCTCATCTTTGGGAGTTTAGCCCACACCTGGAACCACCCAGACTCATCCCGTGGCCAGGCAGGAAACGTGGTAGCCAGCAGCGTCGCCAGGTCCCGAGCATGCGCCCAGCAGGCTGCCCAGAGGCCCGGCTCAGGCACTGCGCCCTGCTGCTGTCTGGGCGTCTCCCTGGCGTCTCTCCCAACTCCAGAACCTTGTTCCATCCACAGACGAGCTCTCCGAGCACGGTCTCAGCCTCCCCAGGGACTGTTCTTCCCTCCTCTCCTGTCCCCAGACTTGGTGACAAGCGGGAAACGCCCCCACCCAGCCTCCCGCCCGCCAGCTCTCCTTCCTTTCCTCACAGAACTGCCTGCTGACGAGTCCCTTTGAAGACATCTTCAAGCAGTGTGTCCGGACGATCATCGAAGGGACCCGCAGGTCAGGCCCGGGCCGGGCGGAGCCAGCCTTAGCTCTCAGGGCTGCCGTTACGAAACACAGCTGCTGCCATGTCAGTCTCCCAAGCGTCCCTTTGAACTCCCGGGACTCAGATAGGACACTTGAACTCAAGTGTGCAGACGCCGTGTCAGAGGCATCTCTGCCCGACACGAAGATAAACTTGAGCACGACTCACTTCCTCTCTCGCTCCCCCGTGTCGCCGTCTGCTCCGGGGCCTGAGAGGCCCCCCCACATCTCGCCATGAGTGGTGGTTTGGGGGTGAGCTCAGCCCTGCCCCTGAGTCTGTGCTTCCCACCCCATTGCGTGGGCGCCGCCGAGCTGAGCCCCAACCGGCGGGCGGGACCACAGTCAGTTTGAGGATCCTGAACCCCTGCCAGGGGCACCCTGATGAGGGACACAGTCTAGTTAGGGAGCCCGGGCTGGTCAGTCCAGCCACGGCCACCCGAGCGCCCCGGCCCTTTCCCCCAGGGTCAGGGCTTGGAAGCGTTTGGTGCCAGTCACCCCGACATTCCTTGGGCTAAGGTTTTCCTGACAAGTCCGCAACAAAGGTGGTTCTTAAAACGACAGATCATCTTCTGCCTGCCGCTGTGAGAACTGATCCCGGGGCTGATTAGCTGTAACAAGACCTTCCGGGGACTGCAGACTGGGGGACACGCCCCTCCAGTGCCCAGGGCACAGTCCTGCAGTGACAGCCCGATGCCCCGGTGAAGACCAAGCAGTGTCTTCTCTGGGGCTCCCAGCGAGGCCCCCGAAACAGAAGCGCCCCGTTGCAGGGACTTGGGGGGTGGTGGTCATCCCAGTGACTGGCCCTGGCTCCCCAGGCTTGTTTTGGTGCCTCCCCCCATGTGGTACTGACAGCGGACAAACAAAGAACAAAGCTGGCATTGTCGGGCGGGGCCGAGCGCCCCGGCACCGCCAGGCACTTTCATCTGCAGCCAGTGGGTGCCCTGGGGGAGGGTGCGGCCCCACCCTTCCAGAAGCCTCCACGCATGGCTGATGCATCAGTGCGGAAGCGCACCCCCTTCCTTAGGGGAGCCCCCGCATCATTCCAGTCCTTTCCCTGCGAGGGGCGGGGCCGCTGCGGGGCCCCTCCCACCGCACCCGCTGCCCTTCGCAGTTGGCACAGAGCGAGCATAGCTGGAATTCTCCTGCCCGGACAAGCGGGCGCGGGCTGTTTCCTCCCCCCCTGCTGCTCCTCTGCCCTGCCCGCAGCCTGACCACCTCCTCAGCGGCCTTCAGTGGCCAGCGGGTGCAGGCGATGGGCAGGACACAGCGGCCCCTTCCGGGCCCAGCCCCCGCTCTCACCTGTTTGCCAGCGCCCACGGGCCTGATGCAGTGATCCCCAAGTCAGAGGGACCAGCACCCTGAGGCAAAGTGCCACTGGCCTTGGGTTTTCGAACGGGTGTGACGGACAGTCCCCAGCACCTCTGTCCCCCTGAGAGGACTCGGTGGGGCAGCTCAGGGTGGAGGCCACGAGCTCACCCCAGTCCTCCGCATGGTGAGAGGGACCCAGTGGCCCCGCAGTTATGAGGACCCCAGAGATTCTCCTCTGCCTTGGGCAGGGAGGCAGCTGTCACCCTAGCAGGAGCTGAAAAGCCACCCTAGGACACCTTGTCAGCTCAGAGATTTGGGCTGGTTGGGCCGTGTCCCTTCCAAGTAAGTTTCTAGGCCATTCTCCCAGTGTGGCAATGCAGTGCCACGGGCCGCCATCAGTGTTCAGGCAACCTCTCCCAAGGGGCTGTAGATGCCCCCCGGGGTGGGGGGGGCAGTACCTCTCTTCCCTGGGAGCTTAGTTCTTAGCCGGCTCTGGCGATGGGAACCAGCGTCTGCCCCGTCCTGTCCCCCCAGCTCGGGCTCACACCTCGTCTTCGTCCCGTCACTGAGAGATGTGCACCATGAACCCCTGTACCCGCAGCCGCCCTTCACCTGCCCTGACCTGCCTCCTGAGGACAAGAAGGTCAGCGGGGTAGGGGGGACAGGAGGGGCCAGGGTGTTCCTGTGGTCTGCCGCTGGGCCCCCCTGCTCTCAGGGGTCAGCATCTGAGCCTCGCCCTCCCGTTGCAGCGCGTGCGGTTCGTGTCGGAGCCCTGCACGCTGTGCGTCGGCGGCGTGACCCTGGGCCTGACGTCCACCGACGTGCTCTTCCACATGGGCGCAGAGGAGATCAGCAGGTACGGCCCAGTCAGGGGTGTCGGCGGGGTCTGGATCTGGGGAGCCCAGTGCTTTGGCCCTGCGAGTCCTCTCCCCACGGAGGGGCTGCCGGAGCCCAAGTCTCCGTGACCCCTCTTTTGTCTCTCGGTGCTGCCATCACCTTGGCTTCCGCCCTGGGTGTCTGGGGCGAGGGGCATCCCCGATGGGTTGAGGGGTCTGGCTGTGCCCGCGGGGAGCCAGCCCAGCAGATTTGCAGTCCACGGCTCCTCCCCGCTGGCTGGCAGGGGGCAAGACGGGTCTGTCCGCGTTGATGTGCTCTGGGCTGCGGGGGTCACCCCGGCTACGCACTGCCCTCCCTGGTCCCGGCTTCGCTTGTTCTTGCGCAATCTGCCGCTGGCTAACGGCCAGCCTTGGCCTGGCTCGCTGGGGATGCCTGTGGGGACAGATGATGCCGTTTGGGGGCCCCCTTTCAACTTGCCTAAGGGTAAGAGTACTGCCCAGAACAGCCCTCCCCAGACTGCGGGTGGCCCCAGAGCAGTGAAGGGTGTGACCCAAAAACAAGACCAAGTGGCCGAATGATTCCCTGGTACTGCGTTCGAGAAAGTAGGGTGGGGGCAGGGGCACAGAACGGGAGGTGGGACGGGGTGCGTTCGCCCTGAGGCTCGGGCAGGCCTCTTCCAAGCGCCTTCTCTTGACTCCTGGTGCTCTGCCTTAGAGCTTCTGGAACGTCGGACAGATTCAGTCGGATCCTTAAGCATATCCTGACCCAGAGGAGGTGAGGAGCGAGCGAAGGCCGGGAAGAGTCTCGGGATGTGTAGCTCTGAGCACGAGGTGCAGGATGGGCCGGGGAGGGCCGCGGGGGGCCCCGAAGCACAGCTGACGGGCGCAGCTGACGGGCGCAGCTAACCACCGTCCCCGCCTGCAGCTACTACCCGCTCTACCCGCCGCAGGAAGAGCTGGCCGTGGACTTCGAGCGGTTGTATGCCTACGCGCAGCTGCCCTTCACCCCGGATGTCCTCATCGTCCCGTCGGAGCTGAGGTACTTCGTCAAGGTGGGTTCGCACACGGCTTTGTTCCGGTGCCTCGTGTCCCCCACCCACAGGCCGGAGTTGGGGTGCGGAGTGAGGAGGGTCCCACACAGAGCCCGTGGGCACGGGGCGCTGACCTGCCCCCAGCACCCCCTAGCTCTCAGCTCGTGCTCCCGTCACCTCTCAGCCCGGCCCCCCTCGGGACCCCACCGACCAGAGTCCCTCACAAGTCAGCCTGCGGCGGGCCGGTGGGTGGAGCAGAGTTCCGCCTCGGCTGTGCGAGACCCCCTCGGGTCCCATCCCTCGCACCAGACGGCTCAGGCATGGCTGGGGGTGGCCCAATTTAAGCAGTTTTCTTCTTTTCAATAGAAGAGGAAAAGTGTTTCTCACATTGGAAAGTTAAAAATATTACTTTGGGGACTGGAGAGATAGCACAGCGGGTAGGGCGTTTGCCTTGCACGCGGCCGACCCGGGTTCGATTCCCAGCATCCCATAGGGTCCCCCGGGCACTGCCAGGGGTAATTCCTTAGCGCAGAGCCAGGGGTAACCCCTGTGCATTGCTGGGTGTAACCCAAAAATCAAAAAAAAAAAACAAAAAAACTACTTTGGGGCCGGAGCAATAGTACAGCAGGGAGGGCATTTGCCTTGCCTGTGACCAACCCGGGTTCGATTCCCGGAATCCCGTATGGTCCCCCAAGCACCGCCAGGAGTAATTCCTGAGTGCACAGCCAGGAAATCCCTGAGCATTGCCAGGTGTGACCCAAAAAGCCAAAAAAAAAAAAAAAAACCATTCAAAAGGAATTCTGATTTCCCAGTCTCCCCCTCTTCTCTGGGTGGGGGTGGCATCCCAGTGCCCCTCACTAGGCAGGCCCGACACACATACCTGATGGAGCCTCATGTGTCTGGTTGCCCCCGTCTCCCCTCTCCCTCTCCTCTAGGACGTCCTTGGCTGTGTCTGTGTGAATCCCGGGCGCCTCACCAAAGGGCAGGTGGGGGGCACCTTTGCCCGACTCTACCTCAAGAGGCAGGAGGCCGGGGCCGGGCAGCAGAGGCGCAGCCCCTGTGTCGCCGCCCAGGTGGTCCGGATCTGAGTTTCGTCCTGCGTCGGCGCAGCAGTGGTGCCGAGCTGACCTCCAGAGCCCAGAATGCCCTGGGACCAGACCCCGGGGGACAGATGCCCGAGGACAGCGCCGGGATCACGCAGCCAGGAAGGTTTGAGCGCTGCACCCCAACTCCAAGCCGAGCTGTCCCGTTCTCCTCACGGACAGTCTGGAGCAAAGGGGCTGAAAGGCAGCCTGCTCAGAAAAGACTAGAAGCTTTGGACTTTCCATGTGAGTCAGACTCAGAAACGACTTCTGGAAAAATAAAAATTTGTTCCGAGTGTGACTTCTGAGTCTGATCTTCGGGACTTTCGTTTTCCTGGTGGTGAGCAAAGAACGAGGCCTCCTTGACCGTCAGCCTGTCACCTGGCTGTGGAGCCAGGAGGCGGGCCTGGCCTCCCCACAGCCCTCACACCGCGCCCAGCCTCACAGCCTCACGAGGGGCCTAGGAGGAGGGCCTGTCCCACCCCACCCCCACTGCCCAGCCTTCACACAAGAGCTGTGCTCCTGGTCTAGCCTCCCTGTGCAACCCGAAAGCCCTCACACCTGGGCCCTGGAGGCGTGTCTGCCTCCCCCTCCCCCCCACACAGAGAGTCCTCACTGCCCAGGAGGACACAGTGCCTGTCACACACACACACACACACACACACACTCCCCTCGCATGCAGGCTGTGCTTCCAGACTGGCCTCCCCGTCTGCAAGGGCTGGTCCACAGAGGAACGGGTTTCTGCAGCCAGGGGGCAGGGGGCAGGGACTTGGGGCGTAGATGCGCTGATAAACGAACTAGATGAGGAGGCCCCAGAGAGCGAGCTGGCCTGGCCGCGGGTCCTCGTGGAAAGGAGGTTTAAGACAAGCAGCAGCATCAGAGCTTGGGGAGCGCCCCCAGCCCCCACACACCACGACCAGACCCAGTGACCAGACCCGACCAGGCCCAGGTGCAGCGGCTGGAATGCAGTCCGCCCTCCTCCTCTTCAGGGGATGGTACTGGCCCTCTGCGTCCTGTCTGGCCACACCCTCATTGCAGGGCCCGCGCTGGGACTCTTGGTCAGCTCTGGGCCAGACTCTGGCCTCGGCTTGGATGTGGGAGATACGGAGGGCAGGAAGTCCCCGCATCCTGGCGCAGGGTGGGCAGCGCGGGGAGGCCCTGGCCGGGCAGTTGTGAGGTATGCGCTGGCTGGGAGCGGTGGGGTCAGAGTCCATGTGAATGGAGCCCGTTGCCCGGAGCCCGTTGCCCGGGGACAAGTCCTGTCATGGGGTCACCGGTATGTGTCAGCACTGGGCAGGGCAGGGTCAGCAGGAGAAAGGACACAAGCCCCAGCATCCCCCGTCCAGGGAGGACGCCTCCCGCTCTGGGTTAGGCCCTGTGTTGTGGCCCCCCTCCATTCCCCAGCCCTGAGGGCCAGCAGATGGTTCTGCGGAAATCAAGGTCCTGCCCTCACCGCTTCACCTTCAGCACCCCAGCCCTGCCTCACCCTCCCACATCCCCTGCCCGCCCTGCTCCTGCATCCGGAGCCTCTCTGTCTCCAGAACGGGGGTTTGGGAGGCGCTCCACAGGCCAGGGGGGTGTTGCGGGCTGAGGGGGCCGGCTCACCCTTCACCCCTCCTGAGGTGTGCATCCCCCTCTGGCCCGCCTGTGGCCCTTCAGGGTCCTTGTCGCCTGACCTCGGCTCACCCAGCCCAGCCCTGCTGCTCCCCGACCCTTCTGACCTCTGTTTAGAACACAGTTTCCTTTCCCTGCTGGGGTTCCGGTGGGCAGGTGGGAAAATCAAAAATAATATATTTTTTTTTTTGGCACAGAGATTTTTAACATTGAAAAAGGTTTTTTTATTTGTTTTATTTATTTTTTTGCTCTTTGGGTCACACCCGGCGATGCACAGAGGTTATGCCTGGCTCTGCACTCAGGAATGACTCCTGGTGGTGCTCAGGGGATCCTATGGGATGCCGGGGATCGAACCCACTGTACTATCACTCCGGCCCCTGAAAAAGGTTTTATTGTGAGCCAATATAATAATAGCATAAACTTCACCAAATTCGTGTGTATTATTCGATGGTATGGTGAAGTTTTGTTGTTTTTTTTTTTGGGAGGGGCGCAGCAGTAGTGATCAGGGGGCTCTTCCTAGCTCTGTGCTCGGGGGGTTCCTCCTCGCGGTGCCAGGAATGGAACCCCAACCTTCTCATGCACAGCCTCCCTTCGGCATCACCCAAACCCCGCGTTGGTTCTAATGGGTTTTAGTAAACCCATTTATAATGCTGTGCCATCACCATATTCCAGAATTTTCCAGAATATTCCTCTAAAGACACTCAGGTCACTATTACTCCCCTGCCATCTCCCCACCCCATTTCTCAGAAGTCTTGTAGATGAGCCCACTCTGACCAAGCCACACATGTGGGGTCCTGGTGTCTGGCTTCTCCCCAACCCCCACAGCTGGTCCCTTGGGGCTTTACAAACACCTTTGGGGGGGGGGGCCGTGTTTTCTGGGGGAGATCTAGAAAAGGGGCTTGAGAGCCTTTAGATTTCTGGAGATTAGAAGTGAAGGAGAGGGGCTGGAGAGATAGCACAGCGGGTAGGGCGTTTGCCTTGCACGCGGCCGACCCGGGTTCGATTCCCAGCATCCCATATGGTCCCCTGAGCACCGCCAGGAGTGACTCCTGAGTGCAGAGCCAGGAGGAACCCCTGTGCATCGCCAGGTATGACCCAAAAAGTAAAAAAAAAAAAAAAAGTGAAGGAGAGGAAGGGAGGGAGGGAGGGAGGGAGGGAGGGAGGGACAGAGTGTGGTGGGCCTCCAAGGATCTTTGAACCAGACTGGGATGTCTGGAGGCTGATGGGACTTTGGATTTGCTTCTGTGCCCCCAGGGAAACTCTGAGAGTTTCTGAGCAGAAGAAAATGCCTCAAACCCATGTCTTTTTTAGGGGGTGAGGGTCACACCCTGCGATGCTCAAGTATTACTCCTGGCAGTGCTCATGGGACCATATGGGATGTTGGGGATTGAACCTGGGTCTGCCACCTGCAAGGCAAACACCCTTCCCGCTGTGCTATCACTCTGGCCCCTTGACTCTCCTCTTAAAGAGAAGGGGAGGGGCTGGAGAGCCGGTACAGAGGGGAGGGCGCTGGCCTTGCACACAGCCCCACCCAGGTTCAATTGATCCCCAGCACCACATATGATCCCCCTCGCACTTCCAGGAGTGATCCCTGAGCACAGAACCAGCAGTAACCCCTGAGGCATCACTGGGTGTGGCCCCCAAACCAAAACAAAATAGAATAAAAGAAAGAAAGGGGGTCTGGGAGATGGTTCAGCAGGTGAGGCTCTTTCCTTGCTCCCGCCCAACCTGCAGGTGCCCAAGATCCCTCCAGGAGTTCCTGTGCTCACCCCAAGACCGCGTAGTCAGCCCTCCGGCTGTGGGCCATGAGACCCAGGACCACCCCAGTCCAAGAACTCCGAGGTTTCTGTTAGAGCTAGTGGGAAGTAATCCGCAGGGTGGAGCTGCTGCAGCCACTTTGTTGCCAGGAAGTCGTGACAGGGGCGGGAGCAGAGGATTCACCCCAGCTCTAAATCGAAACCCCAATGATTACCCCCCTTTTGTTTCCCCTCCTTAAACTCCTTAGAGAAGAATTTTCTATTGCCTGTTACCAAAGGCTGGAAGCAGGCCAAGCAGGTTGGGCTGAGCGCCAGGGGACAGATAGGGAAACCAGCATCACTGCAGGAAAGGGAAGATGTCGACTCTGCACTTGGGCGAGGTCAGATAAAGCCTTCCCTCCCCTCCCCTCCCCCTCCCCTTCCCTTATCTCTCCTCCCCTTTTCCCTTCCCTCTCCTCTCCCTCCCCCTTCTTCCCCTCCCCTCCTCCTCCTCTTCCTCCTCCTCCCCCTCTTCAGCATCCTCTGCTGCCCCTGCAGAGCCCCCACCCCCCTGACAGCTGAGCCCCTGGCAGCTGCTGGGCCCTGTCAAGGCTTCGACAGCTGCTGCCTGTGACCCGCCAGCCCCTGATCCCTCAGCTCAGCCCCCAAAGCCCAGCTCAGCCGGCGCCCGTTTATTTCCGTGTCTATTTCCTGGCTCCCCTGAGGAGAGCTGAAAAACGGGTGCCCGGGGGAGGCAAGGGTCTCCAGACCCTCTTAGAGCTGCCTCCAACTCCCACCCACCCCCACCCCCCAGGGGCTTGGCCTCCAGCCCCTTTTCAGAAAAAACCACTCAGCACCCTCCTGGGAACCAGAGCTTTGGAGTACAGAGGGGCCAGCAGGGTGCTTGCCTTGCACGTGCTGACCCAGGTTGGACCCTGTCATCCCCTAGGGCCCCCCAAGTCCTCGAGGAGTAACCCCTGAGCAAGCCGGGTGTGACCCCAAAAAAGGGGAAAAAAAAAAGGGAAAACCCCTCCCAGTACCGCCAGAGACCTGGATGGCTCCCCTGCGGACGGCGGGCGCGGCACCCACTTTGGGAAACGCTGTAAATAAACGGAAACGGCTCAAACAACCTGGCGTCCCCTCCTGCCCAGTGTTCCCGTCCTGCCAGCGTCCCCTCCTGCCCAGCGTCCCTGTCCTGCCCCTTCCTTCCGGTGAGCCAGAGCCTGCGGGCAGGGACCGGGCGTTCCTCAGCAGGCCTGGGGGGCCAGGAAGAACCCCCTGACCCTCCCTGTCCAGGGCCAGGCGCCTGGGAGGGCCAGGACGTGCCCGTTCATGCTGGCCGGGCGGATGCCGGTGGACCGCCGGCTCTGGGCCTCAGGCCGGCTCTGCCCCACTTCCACTTTTAGAGACCACAGACAAGGGAAAACACAGCGCAGAGAGGCAGCTGGGGGCGGGGGGAGGGGGACAGACCGGGGAGGGGTGCCCTGGAACCGCTGCCCGCGGGTCACCTCCAGGCCTCCTGTCTGTGTCCTTCCCTTTGCTGCTGTTGTGCGTCACCCCGACTTCTGGCACTCACACACATCTGCAGTGCTTTCGTGGGGGCTCACGCACACCTGGTCGGGGGTCCCACGCCTTACTTGCTCACACCCTCCTACCTGAATGGGTTGCACCAGAAATAACCAGCCTGGGCCCCGGGCGAGGGGTCCCAGATGGC